CTCTCCAGGGTCAGCAGAGGGAGGTGGCCGCCCACGGCCACACTGGCTCTGAGCTGGCCCCAGCCCCGCAGCCAGGTGGGGGATGCGCTCGGGGCCCTGGCAAGAGTCATGATTTCCTCCCCTACGCAGCCCAGCAGTCCAGGTGGAGACCACAAACAGCTCTGTCATGTTTTCATGTCAACAAGAAAACTGAGAAAACATGCTGAGCGTGCTGAGGCATTTCCATCAATGTTGTTTGAGCAACGCTGTTTCACTCGCTCCAGGAAGTTCATAAAAGCCAATGGACAAGTGTTCTCCTCTTTGACAGTGAGTATCAGCAGTAACTGTGTCTGAGTCAATAATCATAGTTTTCTTTTCCTCTTGCCTCAGGGTAACTGGAAGGTAATTCCATGTTAATGAGGTCTTTGCTCCATTCCAGTCTGGGAGCAGTGAGACAGCGCTGATAGCAGGGGAGATGCTCCTGATGTAAAGTGGTGACAAAGGTGGCTGCATGTGGCTTCTGCTTGTATCAAACGATCAGACATTGTGCAAGTTGGCTGTCTTGCTCTAAACAGAGACGTATCGGCATATTTTGGTTTTGTCCGGAAGGTCTTACAGGTATGAATTTCCGACCCCAATAAACAAACTCTGCCAGGCATAAATCATTTAGATAGTTCAGAGCAAGTTTCACTTAACCCCGTTGCTGGAAGGGTCTTCTAGATCCTCCATCATCAGATCCTGCTGCTTATTCCTCCAGTTTCCTTTCCTAACTGGCTTCTCCTCCTCGTCAGCATTTTGACAAGCTTGGTCCCGGGGTGTCTGGTAGTTGGCAGCTGGCAAAATGGCATTGCTTTGGCCTCGCTGAGAGTAGACCTCCTTGTGAATCCTTTCCCCAGAACAGAGCTGGAGTTTAAAAGCTGCCTGGAAACCTCGGCGAAAGTTTTCATTGAAGAAACCATAGATGATGGGGTTGACGCTGCTGTTGAAAAAGGCCAGCCAGTGAGCAAAGGGATAGACGTAAATGTTGATGATCTGCAGCTGGACATCTGACAGGTTAGCGTAGTCTGAGAGCATCATCAGAGTCCACAGAGGAAGCCAGGACAGGATGAAAAGCAAAGCCACCATAATGAGCATTTTGATTACTTTTTGCTTCTTCTTGGACACGAAGTGCCGCTGCTTCTGGCTGTGTTTTCCCAGTACGGGCATTGCCGTGTTGAAGAGGGTAATGCCTATTCTCGTGTACATGATAACAATGAGCGACAGGGGAGCCAGATAGATGTTGGCAAACAGAACTGTCGTGTAGATCTTCCTCATTCCTGGATCAGGCCAGTCCTCCCGGCACCAGTACACAGGGCGGGTTTCATTGCCAGAGCCAAGGATCACCCTGAAATGCTTCTCTTCTCGCACCTGCAACATGACTGCAGAGGGACACATGATTGCCACAGCCAGAGTCCAGATGACTGCTATGATGAAAGCTGCAGTTGAAGTGGTCAACTTCTGCTTAAAAGGATAAACGATGCATCGGAACCTGCAGCAAAGACCCCCGGGGACATATGTGGAAAAGTCATGTAAGGACTATTTAATCAAACAGGCAGACATGTCCACGCTTCCCAAATTGTGTATTTTTAAAGCAATACAGCTGTCATCAGCTCCTCATCCAGCATAAACCAGTGGAGCTCCATGTAGTTGCTCCGTTTAAGAGCTGTATTGATAAAAAGAGTCTCCCAAAAAATCGCATGTATGGCTAACGTTTCTTTATATGATCTGTCTCCTCACCACCCAGGTACCGGTGTCTCTGCCATCTCGTTCAGTAGCTGGGGAACTAACTAACGTGAGGCTGCAAAGCGTAGCCCAGCTGTGCCGTCTTTAAGAGTTCCTAGTGGAAGAGCAAATTGCTGTGGCTGCTTTTTAGGCCCAGCCACGTTTTGTTTTGCTTGCTAGCTGCAGGAGCAAAATGCCTCTAACCTGTTGCAGTGTTGTAGGGATTAAAGAATCGGCCTCAGCATGGCTGAGTGGCCGTTGGGTGATGAAAAAGATGGTTTCCCATCTCTGCATCATCTTACCTGTCTACAGCAATCGCAACTAGGGTGAAGACAGAGGCCGAGACAGAGATTCCTTGGACCATCCCGCTCGTCTTGCAAACCATGCTCCCAAACGGCCATCCTGGAAGGAAATGGGACATTGAAATTTTCTGCAGCTCCCTGCAGCGCTATACTTCCTCTAGTGTAAGCAGAAGAGGAATTTTCCTCCCTAAAACTAATCGATTTCCTTTGCTCTATCAGGCTGTAGCGGGTAAGGGAGGCAGAGGTTAGGTGAATAACCGCTTTGCCAAATGCCTGGGGTGCGTTTCTGATGTTCTGGAAAAGAGCAGAGCGAGGATTTGTGACTACAGGGTAAAATGGGGCTTCAGCACAGGAAAGGGAATTGAGCACTACAACTGAAGATGTCTTGACTGCTTCCATTGAATTGGAGGAAATGTAAGGTATCATCTGAGGCAGTAACATCACCTCTGGGCCCTTCCAAGAAGGGTATCGCTTCAGATGACCTTTGAATTTAGCTTCAGGACAGCCAGTGCCAACTGCCACGCTTTCCTGAGTAGGCTCAAAGCTGTGCCACCTCCTACCGCCCTGTCTTTCTGCTGGGTGTACGAGGCTGCGAGGTATCTCGTGGGGTGCCTGAATTGTTTTTAAACAGTGTAGGGTTAAAACGTGTGTGAAGGGTTTTGCCCCTTCGCTCAGGAGGCAAAACAAGGGCCTCAGATGTGTCCCAGATCTTATCAAAGGGGTTGGTTCTGTGTGCCAGGGGCAGAATTAAAGAACAACCATTTGTGGGGGTTACTGTCTGGTGCACCAGGCTTTCACGGTCCCCAGGGAGGCTGGCACTGGCCAGTGCAGGAGAGTCCCCCTTGAGCTCTCACTGCCGTGTGGTGTGACCCAGCCTACCTGCAATGATGTTGTCCAGGAGAGTTGTGGGCATGCAGAAGATTCCCACCAGTAAATCACTGACCGCCAAGTTTAAGATGAAAAGGTTTGTGACTGTACGCATGTGTTTGCTCCTCAGAACGATAAAGCAAACCACTCCGTTGCCGACCATACAGAGCAGGAAGATGAGGAGATAAGAGATGATGAAGACAGCTGCCACTGAGGGCTGGTGAAGGTAGAAGTCGACATAGGAGACATTGCCTTCCCAGTGCAGGTACTTGTATGTGCCATTAAAAGGGAGCATGTGAGGCCAGTCAGTTGAAGGATCTGAATCCATTTTCTGACTCGTGTCGTATTGTGCCTTAAAAGATGTTTTTAAGAAGGTCATTATAGCAGGTTTGCAAGTGATTTGAAGAAATGGGACTGGATTTGGATATGCAGTGTACTGAAATACATGGAAAGCTATACCATAGAGTCATTCCTTCAGGGCTGACGTTGGCAGTCCACGTTCTGAGCGTTCCCAGGCAGGAAGAGCAGCAGATACTCTTAGTTTGGTTTTAGAGCACAGATATGTAAAAGTGACTGGTAAGACTGCTCAAGTTTTGCTTCCATCTGCAGGCTCTAGAAATCAAGTCCTTTCCTTCCCAAACCAAAGGAAAGCCACACAGGCTGTAAACTGGCCTTTTGTGATGTGCCAGGTAAACAAACCAACGAACGAAACAGTTTATTTTGAGAGGGGAAAAAAATCAGAATTGTTGAGAAATCAATCCACTTGCTCAACAATTGGAGTACTCTGGTGCTTAGGTAACAGTGAGGTTGCTGAGCTGTTAAAACCAGTGATTAAATTAAAGCTTTCGGAAATGATATGACTCCTCCGCCTGAATGTATACAAATCCAGTCCCATTTCCCTGAAAAGGAAGTTTTTTTGCACATAGTTGATGTTAGACCACAACTGACTTGCCTTGACTTAAAAGCCCCATAGATCAGGACGACTCGGGAACCATGAAGGCCTATAGTGAAGTACAAGACAGCTGGATTCATTTCCTAGCTCTGCTACTGACTTCCACAGTTCTGTTGAGGGATTCGTAATCTCTCCATGTCAGAGATTTCCTGCTAGAAAATGGAGGCCATACCCTCTCCCACTTGGTATATTCACAGTGTAAAGTAAATTCTCCCATTTTATATTGTATTAGGTTGCGGTTGTCAAAAACTCCAGGCTTTTTATTGCAGAGAATTGTTTCCAAGTCTGACTTTCTTCATATTGTATCATCTCCATCTCAACCTACAAGTATCTATGTCTTCTCTGTTGCAGTAGCAACGCCTTTGCAGATGTGATGGTTAGAGGATAAGGAAAGCAAGACTTTTTATTGCACGCTAGATGGAGAGGAAAGCATCACTTTAAGGCAGGTGCAGAATTTGTGTGCCCCAAACTGACCTATTTCAGAATCGAACTGATTGAGCTGAACTACATAGGCTGCACTATTTTCTTGCCCTCCTGTATTCCTGTAGGAATACAAGAAGCTGCACTTAAATTCTGTGTCAAATCTTAACTGGAGCAGAATTTTAACCCCTACGTTACACAGCTCATAGAGAAAGAACATCAGCCTTCCTAACATCAGCTGACCCTGGAGTCTGGACATTTACCACGGGCACCAGGTAACTGAACTTGCAAGAAGCTTTCAAGTGTTTTTTCTACATTTCCTTTTATCTGCCGGACAGAGGCTGGGAAGCTTAGGCAGAGTGGGTGGTGACTGAGATGAGATTGCTGTCTGCTGATAACACCAGCAAGATGGCTTTTGGATAACAATGAAAATGGCTTTGGGTTTTTATTTCCTTAACAGCCACATCTAAATAGCTGCCTAAAGTGCGTGTGTTGGAGGGAGGGGATTGGAACAAGAAGAGTAGTGAAAAAAATACAGTTTTCTGCAGCCTTCTGCCTTGTTAGAAGCCAACAACAATACAATGGTTGTAATGGCCCTGCATTGTTACACGTTCATTCAAGTGTCTACATGTTAAGGTGTAGGTAGGCGAGAATCTAAATCTCTCCCCAGAAAATGGCTGCTTATGTATAGTGCTGTGTTAAAATATATAAGCTAACCGTAATAATTGTATATCTCTTTGATCGTCCTTATGCAGAAAGACTGTATGTCTGCTTTTATTTTTACTCCACAACTATTTTCAAAAATGATTAAAATATTTTTATTCCAATGTATTACACGTCAAGCGTTTTAATTAGTCTGAGATCCGAGTCAGTTATTGTGGAAAGTGTTTTAATGCCACTTTTATGATTCGCTTTAGAAAAGAGGCACTGTTGCATTTGCATCTAGACATGCCCAAGATGCAGAGCATAAGCAGAATCCAAATATAGACATTTGACAGTAGTAGTTTGCGCTGTTCTTTTCATCACCGATGTGGAGCTGTGCTCTGTAAATCCCAGAAAATGCGGAGTCCCTGAAGCCCTGTTTAAAGCTCGGTATCGTTCATGCTGCCTTTTGGCCTCTGACAAGAAGAGGATTTGTTGTGGCTCCCTTTCCTCTTTTTGCCCAGCCACCTTCTCAGGTCAGTGAAGAGCAGAAGCCCGAGCAGCCCCTGCCCAGCCGCCACCCGTTCGCTGGGAGCGTCTAGATGAGAGGCAGCGCTCTTCAGCGGAGCTTCCTTTGCTAGGCCAGGAAGCGAGGTCTCCTTCTCCTTGGCGTGGCGCTACAGGATGAAGCCCAGACCTGGGCCCAGGAATCTCAAGCACCAACATCTGGTTTGTAGCTCTGATTTGCTTTGTAGACTGCTCCTGACTCCGGGGTATTCAGTTAAAAAAGACGGGTGCTTGTGTTCAGACCTTCTCTTGGCAGCTAGTGTTGACAGCGGCCAGGGAGCTTGCTTTAATGCAAAAGAAATGAAACACCAAGAAACGGAGCAGATAGCGCCAGTGATCTGGCACCTGATACATCTTTGTGTGTAAACCAGAGCAGCGGCTGGAGCTCTCTGTGGGCTCATCACTGCATTTCAGACTGTAGACGCAACCGTCTAAGAAAACGGTTGGGAGTTTTGCTCTGTACCGTCAGCCCCAGACTCATGCTCCTGGTTAGCCTCACGTTCAGTTTTGAAAGTTTTAGCAAAGAGTAGCAACGCGCCCAGTCCCGAGTGTCTGAAAAAGGTCAGGCCATCTGCGCCTTCTTGCTCCTTAAGAATGATTAATGATTTGTGCAGGTTCAAATTAGAAATTCATGCTGCAGTGAAGATGTTGCTGTTAAGGTTACTAGGGCTAGCCTTACCAATACCCTCCCTCGCTCACAGGAGACGGCACCATATAGAGATGTGTGTTATGCTGAAGCTGAGGTGGAAGAGGATTGGCTGGAAGGAGGAACAAAGGAAATGCTTTGTGTTTTGCTAAGGTACTTGCCCCCTAAAACGGACAAGGATGAATAACCTGGAGAGGCACATAAGACCGAAGCATAAGTCATCTGAGAAAAAGGAAAAATGTTACCTAAATATTACAAGATGATAAATAAAAGTAATTAGTGTCCACTAATTTGATAAGGTAATAGGGTAATTTGATAGGGTAATTTGATAAGGACATAAGGCCTTCCTACTTCATTTGTTGTCCTTACATCAGAAAAAGGCAAGGAGCACAGAAATGTTCTTCTTTTTGAATGTACCAGAGGCAAATCTCCAAAAAAGCACGTCAAGAGCCTCAGCCCGTCAAGAACCCCACAGTTCCAGAGACTGGGTTTTTTAAAGTGCTAGACTCAAACCGTTAAAATCCCAGTAATACCCTCCCCACCACCCCATAAACAAATATGCAATGTGAAGTCTCACAGCACAACCAGCACAATCTCACGCCACTGGAAACGGAGACTTAATTTTGCCTTTTTACAAGAGCAGTCCCAGGTAATTATGAAGTAAATGCAATTCTTTTTATACTGGCCACGTGGAGGAATTCTGGCAAGCAGAGCCAGCCAGTACCGCTTCCCCTTTGTGCGCAGCCATCTGATTTTATTGTTGTGATTTTCTGTGAGATCTCATCACAGAATTCTTTGAGGCCTTACAAGCTGAAACAGACACAAACAAGGAAACTTTGGGGGCCTGAAGAACAGAAGCATGTCACTGTGGAAGAGGAAAATGCAGTGTGGTAAGCACCACGAGATTTATCTTGTCGTTGTCCTGAGCTCTCTACTCCATAACGGGTCAAATACACACCTTTCTTAGAAGCCTTGGAAAACGATAGCATCTCTGTTCTGCTGAAAAGCCAGCTTCAAAATGAGATCAACTCCTGAGGGATGGCAAAGCAGAGAAATACCTCCTTCTGTAACTGCCTTAGAAATAAGGACAAGAGCAATGAAGGGACTGAGCTATGATTCAGTGGATCAGAAGAATCAGAAGACAGAGAAAGCCAGATAGAGGTTTTTTTTTGAAGACAAAAACTGTGAACTTCCCTGACTCAGTGAAGTATTGTTAGCAGCACTTTTTCAGGATTCAGGAAGGACGTGAAAGGAAGAGGAGAACCAAAAATGGTCACATGTGATCTCTACCTTTAAGAAAAGGGATGTGCTGAAGGAAGAAGAGGCAGGAGCCCTGAGAAATGCTGTCAAAAAAAAGACCAGGCCCTTGGCCTGCAAAGACCGCTGCCTTCGCCAGCCAGGCTAAACACTCAAAGGCTGCTCAGCAGGGACCAGTGCAGAGCACTTCATGAGTCAGACTGGGGAATAGCTGCTACACAGCAGTCCTGCACACCAGGATCTAGAGGTGGTACTGAGTCCCCAGCTGAACACAGCAGCACTTGGCCTGACATGAAATGGCAAACACCCTATTAGGGTGTGCACAACGGTAACTTGCAGAACACATGGAATTCATGTTATTCAGGGCTCCGCTCGTCTGTTAGGTTTAGTTTGGGTCACTGTAATTCCAAACAGAGGTGGGCAGCAAGCAGAAGTCGTCTAGAAGAAAGGAGCAGGAAAGATCAGCAGACCAGAAATCGTGATCTGTAAGAAAGGGCTGAAAGGGATGGAGCCATTTCACCTACCAGAGATGGCTTCAAAAGATGTTGCCGTGTATTCTCTGCATTCCCTGGACATATCAGAAATTCTTTATCATAGCATCACTTGGGCTTTAGCAGGCCCGATAGGAAGGACACGTCTGCAGTTCCTTGTAAGCCGGACAGACTTGTGCTCTCTCTCACAGAGCTGACTCTTCACCAGCCAAAGAGCCAGTACCAGGCTGAGGCTTGAGAAGCGTACGGGACATGCTGTAGTGCAGCAATTTTCGATTCTCAGCAAAAAGAAGCAGCTTGGTTTGCTCTATTTTAAGTGCAGCAGACAAAACTGCCTCTTTGGTGAGTAAAGATTTCATTACAGATGTTGGTTTCTCTATTACTGTTCCTTTAAGTTAAGAGCT